TGTCTGCCAAAGATCCTTTTTAGAATTTGATACAATACACAGTAGAGTATCATACTGGAACTGGATTACGTTGGTGCTTCTGAAAGAATACAATAATTACAGGGACCAAATGTCAAACATGAAATGATCTTATTTCCATTCATCACTAAAGAGTATTCATTTGATTTCCCCCTGGTTGCATCCTTTTCCTGTCCCTCCTCTAGAGGCTAAGTGGATAACTCAGTTTAAAAAGATCAGATTACATATAAACAGCAGGATGTTGCAGATACATGCACTATTGGAAATGCTCCTGTTTAGCATACAATGTGTTTTCTAGTACAGTGGTTCCCAAACAGTGTGCTGCGAGGAAAGTTCAGATGTGCCGTGGGATTTTGTGAGAATGATACTATACAAATTCTGAATTAATTTTAAATTCACTACATCAGTATTTTGTAGGCACTTTGTAGTATAATTTTACAAAGTTTCAAATTAATACTTATACAATGATAACGTGTTATTGAGACTATTTTGCTTGCCCTTGGGCACAAAAAGTTTGAAAACCACTGATCTAGAACATCTAAGGAGAAGTTAGATAATACTTGTCTCTGTACCCTTCTTAACCCAATCTCTAGGATTCTGAGTCATAGCCTAGATCGAACTGCTGGTATATGACGTCCGGGGCACCTTTAAATTATGAGGACAAAAACAGCATCACTTCCTGTGTTCCTTCTGCTCCAATGCCACCATGATGCCAAACATCGGACCCCACGGATTTCACCCTGGCCGACCTCTCCTGACTCTTTAAACGACATTCCACCATCACATCCAAGAAGTGTCTGATTCTCAAGAGGCCACAAAGATGTAATCAAGTGGGCTTTATGATGGATGCTTTTGTGTTTGCTTCTCTATGTTTAACACACTGTGACAAAACGCTGTCAGTAGCATCAATTCTGTGAAAACTAGAAGACTATGTAGCAGCTTTTGCATCAGTAGCCCAGTTGCTTTAGGTCAATCTACAATGCAGTGGATGGGGAAGAACTGATCAGGCACCAGAATACACACCAATATTGTGTGTGTACATGCCTTAGTGTGTGTTTGTATCTCAATCAGCAGCTGTTAATGAAGGCAGTGTTAAGTGAAGGGAGCTAAGAGGAGGCAGCACTTAATGCAACCTGAAACAACCCGAGCCCTAGCCATCATGTCTGGCTGTGTATGTTTTGAAGTGTGTGTGTGCATTTGTGTGGGAGTGAGGATGCTTTCACAGAGGTGACGGTGACAGTAGCAGCTTACAACAAATCAGACAAGACCAAATATATAATATATAATATAATATAGTTAAGAATCCTGAAACATATGAGGGATAGAAATTATACCTAATATCATTGTCACATAAAACAAACTTATTTTATCATTCCACTGCCAAACCAGTTTGCTTAAGGCACAAGGTTGGCATTATTAGATATATATTTCTTATTGTCTACAAATCTAATACAAAGACCAAAACCAACAATGTGCTAATCTGTCTCTCAGTACATTCTGACTACCCTACCACAGTCTGTGGTACTGTGGTGCTCCATTCAATATAGTTTCGGTTCTTTCGAGGGATTTGTTGACAACAGGAAAAATATAGATCATCACCAGCTTTATCCTCCAATCAAGACTGCTGTAGATGAAGCATGGTTACATCAGGGTTACATGAGCTGTAACGGTACACTCCACAGATCTTTACTCCGAGTCTTATCTGACAGAAACATTATAGTTTATTGCTCAGAGTGGCAGAGCAGAACCAGCTTCCTCTGCTGTGCCTCCCCTTCTCTCTATATATTTCCAAAAGTCTGAGTAAACAGATACTGAATTGTACGCTCCTGTCCTTCAATATGTATTCTATGTTCTCTCTCCCAACACCAAACACTGAGCATCCTTGTTAAATTATCATGGGTGGGTGGTTGACTAATTCCTTTATGTTCACACATGAAGGACGCGCACAAACAGACACACCCTCACTAGCCATTCCTCCCTAAATGTTGTGCCATCACGAAAGGACATATCATTTTCACTTTGAAATCATGTAGGGGACATCATACTCGATGTATTTCTTTCAACACTAACAACATTCCTGTTTTGCTGACACTTATCCTCATTTATTGTCAGATCATGTGATGACTTTGACTTTATTGTGATGTTTTGTGAATGGATACTAACAAGACTGTTTAGACCACAAACTGACTAAATGTACTCTATGTTGCACCTCTCTGCCTGCGTTGTATTAAATTGTGGTATTTCTTCTGTTTGTTACAGGCTCATATACTCAATGACACGTATTTGTATTTGACACAAGCATATTACAACATTTAAAGTACATTTCCCTCTGTATTCTTCATGTGCATGTTATTGTTTTAATAATGCTACTGCAAAGAAAAATAGCTTCAGAAAGCGATTAAACTGATTTTCTTAAAATATTTGAAGTGTGTCTAAATAACAGTCGGATGTAAACATTGACACCTTTGTCTTGAAACGATTACTCTGAAGTAGCAGTGGTCATTTTGTTTTTGGTGCAGAAAACCCAAGTTGCCAACTGAAAGAGAAAAAAATAATTTCCAGTATTGCTTATGTCTTAGAATGCTGGCAAATCTTACCTAACGTGTCAGAATAAACTCGATGAATGAACATTACCACAGCAACAGCTGTACAGCAAGCAGCAGGAAGGTGGTCATATCAGGCTAGTAAAACTCAAACAGCGGGCAGAAGTCCAAAACAGACAAAGGGCCATCGGAAGAGAAAAAAGACTGGAGAAATAAGGCATAGCAAAGACAATCAAGCAGGGAGTAAGAGTGAGGAGGTCACTGCAAGGGACATTTGGCGCACAGGACTGGGCAACTCTGCAGTGGCAGCTAGTGGATAGGTGAGGAATGGCAATGGAAGGAGAAGGAAAGGAAGTTAATTTTAAGTAACAGATACACTTACTGGTAATTCATTATTAATTATTAAAAACACTGAATCTCTGTATGTCTCTATCTTAAATACAGCAACAGCATTAAAAAGTTTTTATCCACTTCTATGGTAGATTCATTGATTTTATTTATTTAAGTGTCTTGCATTTCTATGGTGCCCAGCCAATATGGGCTTACAATAGACTCAAGGCAACATCAGCCAAGATGGCCACATGACAAATCATAATATACAGTTCCACAAATTCAAAAAAGAAAACATTTAATAATATTCCATTTGCATGACTAAAATGTCTAATTAGGTTACAAGTCCTGGCTAGTCATACTCAGATTGTGCTTTAAGATATTTTGAACTTCAGTGGTTGCTAGATTGATTTCTTGTTTGTACTCAAAAGGGTGCACACACTCCCCCTGTGTGGAAATATCTTTGAAGCTGTAATCATGTTTCAAGTGCATTTTTGATATGTTAGGCAACAACAACATGGCAATGCTGTTCCTGATAAGCTATAGTGCTGTTGGCAATGCAATCACAGAGTTGATCCTCCTGGAAAAAAAAAAGTGACCAAAAATGAAAAAGTACCTTTCAAGGCCCTTGACCCGGATGAGTTGTAATGTCATTTCCCATCAGAGAATGATGCATAACTCGTTTGTAATGATTTACCCAGACATCAATATGTGCTTAACCTGCTGTGCAAACCTCGGTATCTTCAGTTCTGTCTGAAGAATACTGACTGAAGTGACTGGGCCTATTACTCTTTTCACTACTTTTAGAGCCTTTAGATGTGCTGTTCTATTCTCTGGATCACTGGTTCCCAACCTTTGTGGCTCATCAAGTCATGCGAAGTTTATTCATATAGGCCAATATTACCAATAACAAATTTGCCTCAAGCGGTTTTACAACCTGTGAAGAGAATGTTGCATTATGGGTTGTTTGTATCCTTCATGTTGCTAGGCTAGCAGGTTCCTTGAAGCTATTAGTGAGTTTTTGAGTTAATTAGCCCTTGTTTGCTGTCATGAACAAAATAATTTCTGACAAGTGAAAACAAGTTCTGAGCATCTACCAATGTCTTGAAAAACTTGTACTTGAAAACATTTTTGGAAACTTAAATTTCAACTCAAAATGCCCAATATAATACTGAACTTTTTTATGAAAATTCCTCTTGTCTTCTTTAAAATCAATATTAAAAAATTACTATGGCCTTACTTCTGTATAGTATGGTATGAGGAAATTGATTAATCAGTTATATACTGAGAAAATGTGGACATGTGTGCTAATTTGAATCAGCGAGCCTGTAAGAAAAGATAAAGGTAAAATGATTATTATAAGAATGCTGAAACTAATTAAATAATGTAACAAATAACAAACTTACAGCATTAAGGGGAAGTCATGATGTGGTTTCATTGTATGTGTGTGCGAAATGGTGATAAATGCAACTGTAACCGGAGGCAAATTCAGGAAATTCGTTATGTTTGCAGAACAGATGTTCAAACCAGGCAACTTAAAATGCTGAATAGACAAGTCAGTTAGGCAATGTCACGAACAGCTTCTATGTAATCTGAGCAAAAGAACAAGATGCAGGGAAAATTAACTGAAGAAACAGTGCACTTCAGCCACCCGCTCAAACTACTTGCTATGTATGTAATTTATTTTATTGTATCCCTTGCCAGATATTAAAAAGCCACCCATGCCACCCTAAAAAAAGACATATGCACAAAATACCACAATATCTGCTGATAAATAATGCCACTGTATAACACATGGTAGTTAGCTAAAATCCTAAACTAACATAAAATAGGCAAACAGTCATGTAATTATGGCAAATTATGACAAAAAAAACACATTTCATCCAGCTGTTCCACATTTTCTTTTGGGGCAGTCTGAGAACAAGTAGACCCCCATACTTGCAGCATCAGCTGTGGCTGCAAAGGTCCAGTAGTGATTTTAAGAATCACGAAATTTAACAGGAAGACTCTGGTTAAGGGGTTAATCCTGAAGTGCATAACAGGAACTGATTAAATGTTGAAAAAAAATACTGAGGTTAAGACTTTCACAAGGGGAAGTATTCGCCATTCCCTCTCCCAATGAGTCATATTGACAATAAGATGAGGGACAAGAACTGGTTCTGTCGAGTCACACGTTTGTGAAAGGACAAACCTTGGTGGACTCAGTGGAGATCCTCATATCATAATTATTCTCACATGCCAAAAACTGCATCAACCCTTTTAAGGTAAGAAAATGATATGTAAAATGGGATATTTCAGTGATTTAGATACAAATTTTTATTTTTATTTTAATTGCATGATATACAACACAATTAAAATTAGAAAAATACTTTTGTCTTTTCACGTTTAAAAATGGACAATTAATGCAGGGAATTAAAACTAAATTAATGCTGTGAATGATAACCAGAGGTGGGAGGGAGCAGTCAGTGGTCAAGTTCACTTCTTGACTTTTGTTCATACCAACTCTCCCTTTGATCTACATTTGCCCTTCTCCTTTTGCAGCTGATCATTTGTCGTGTTCATAAATCAGTGTTGCTATCATGTACATCTGCTTTCCAGCATTAAGTTACATGTGGGTGTGTTATTCTGTTGCATATGATGTATTTTTCAAATAGTAGTGTTCACATTGTTTAAAACAAAATGAAATCTCCTGTCATCCTCTGTCTTTAATGATTGATCAAAATGTCAACATGCATCCAGGTTGCAGTCCAAGTCCAGGCAGCCGCTTTTATTTGTAAAAATTACTGGATCTGTACATAGAGTTTCTATCCATTGGATGTTTCAGATGTGATCATCCGTTTTATTTTGAATTGTGAAGTAATTTTAATAGCTGCCCAGGCTTGTTGGATTTTAAAGGTAAGAGGGCGACTTAATCACAGCCACTGATTTAGGTTTGCTTTACAAAAATCAACAAGCTTTTCTTGTTCCTCTGCTAATGACAGACACCACCTCAAAAACAGCACCCTTTTTAAATGAACATTAACAATACTTCATTTTTACTCTACCTCAACAGCATTTGACCAACTTTGAAGACACAATATGGTCTTCATTTCTGCTGAAAAACTCAATTTTGTTTGTTATCTGTCACTAGGTGAGTTCCTGTTTATACCAATTTATTCTTGATTTCTGAATTCAAAACATATGAGTGCAGTATAGTCAACTAGTTTGCTTACATACTTACGAAAGAGTGTGAGTCTCAAAGTTTGTATCAAGAATTGTGTTTTTTCAAATGATCCGTTTGACCATGTTGATGTTGCATAATCTTGGGAAATGTATTGTGGGACTTTCATGAAAATTATCTTAAGAAATTTAAGAAATTGCAGCACGGAATGCTTTGTATTTATAGGACAATATTGTTTTAAATATTCTAAATTAAATAATCTCTTCATGACCAAACATTTTGCTATATTTTAGGTCTTCTGAGTCTACCACTGCTTACAGGTCAGTAAGCTGTATTTACGTTTTATGCCTAAAATCCATGCATATTATTTATTAGTTGCATTTTATGTTGTTGAGTACATTGTGATACAACCTGCTTTCATTTATTCCATTTCCAGAATGTAATGGGAAAATTAGGCTGGTGGGTGGCAGGCCAGAGTCACGTTGCTCTGGTAGAGTGGAAATCTACCACAGGGACAAGTGGGGAACGGTGTGTGATGATCAGTGGAGCATTATCAACGCTGAAGTGGTGTGTCGAGAGGTAAACTGTGGGACAGTTCTTGAGGCCAAAAAAAGTGCTTTTTTTGGAGAGGGCAAGAATGACATCTGGTTGGATGACGTGCAGTGTGTTGGTCATGAGTCGTCCATCCTCAAGTGTGAACACAGAGGATTTGGGGTAAATAACTGTGGCCATGGTGAAGATGCTGGGGTTATCTGCTCAGGTAAGATTGAGTTGAAATGTTGAGTTTTTCTTTAAATATTAATTAGGCATTAACCTGAAATCAGAGAGTTAGTTCATGAAATCAAACATTACAAAACCCTGCTTTGCAAGTACCTTCCTCAATTTATATCAAGACCAAAAATGTGGAACTGTCAAGAGAAATTGAGAAATACAGCTGTGTCTAAACGCTTCTCTGACTAAGAATAAGCAGTTGCAGAACCAATCCAAAGTCAAAGGTAGTGACATACAGAAGTTGTGTGCTTGTAAACATGTAATACCATATAATGTTGCTTGGGACATCCATTTTCATTGGTTTAAAAATCTCTCTCCATGGTACAAAGTGATTTGCTATATCTTCAGTGTTTTTCACTACAGAGGAGAATGGGGAAAAAGCATTCTTTATTATTAATATCCTTGAAGTGAGGGCAGTAAGTTTGTTAGTGGCTGTTCTCACTGCCATTCAAGCAACTACTTTTCTCCGAACATCCGGTATTGTGAGACTACTAATGCCGCTATTATCTTAGCTTCTGATCATATTATTGTGTGTGTTCAAAAACCTAGAGACGGTATTGTCAGTTCACAATTTGTTGTCCACTTTAAGATGATTGTTACCTGTGGTGGCAATGCTGTTGCAGCAGAAGCACAACAGCAAGGTCAACATGACTAGCTGCTGCAAATGTAAAGAGCAAAGGGCAAGGTAGAGAAGGGAGATAAACAGTCACCAGCTAATTTTAATCACGTGTGTATTTTTGGTAAAAAGTACCCGCAGTGCACATGCCTCCATCTCATGTCACCTTTGTTGTAGATCGTGGTGCAATTCGCACTTTCATAAAACTGGGAGACAGGTCAAAATCGAAGCAGAGATGTCCTGACTTTTAGTCCCAGGTATGGGTCAAGCTCCAAAATCACTGGATCCTACACTTCCCATAATGCAACTCAATAGTGTCCTTCATTAGGCCCCCCTGCTCACATTATCAGGGTTAGCTTTGAGAGTGCCCCTTTAAAAATGTCTGAAACTGGGGAAGAAATTATACGTAACTTTAACAGTATGGAGAGTTTTTTCTACTTAACAGTTCTGAACTTTAACTTCACATAAAATTGTTTTTACTGGTTTTTGTTTGTAATAAACAAATGAGAATGTGTTAACTCATGAGTTTTAGAAGTACTTGTAGGCAGATTTTGTTAACATTGTGCAAAGCCTAGTTAGCTGTTCCCCTGTGTTTCCTGTTTTTATTTTACCTTTTAATAACTGGCTCCTGGCTGCTGCTTTATGTCTCCACCAGAAAACAAAATTTAGGTTGTAAAAATCATCTCATTCCACATTGTCTGACAGTAATATATTTTTTCTGTACCAGCTTGCTCCTAATCTTCTTTACTACATGTCTTATGGTTCTGTACTCATTGTCCCAAAATGCAGCCTGGTAATTTGGTCTCCACTAGAATTTAAAATAAAGTTCTGTGAGTTTGAAAAATATCCAGCTATGCAGGTTTTCACATGATTCCACAAAACTATTCATCGTGGACTTTGTTGTTTTTTGAATGTTCTTATCCCTTGTTGCGTATTTGTTCACTTTATTTCTCCCCACATCATTTGCAGAAAATGTGAGATTAATCAATGGAAGCAATCGGTGTAACGGCAGAGTGGAGGTCTACCATGACGGCCACTGGAAACGACAATGCAACAGCCAGTGGAGCAAGAAAGAAGCTGACGTGTTGTGCAAAGAGATTAACTGTGGGGAGTCACGCACACAAACCGAAGTGCTGCATTTTGGAGGGGGATTTGGCCTAGGTGGAATCAAAACCACCTGTTCTGGAAATGAGAGTTATATTTCTGAGTGCAACCGTCAAGAATTCAGTGAGAGTTGTGTTGATGCCACGGTTGTATGTTCAGGCGAGTCATTTTGTGGTGAACTTTACATGGTTGGACTATGTGCTATTTTGAATGACCTCTGAATAAATGTACCCTTTACTTTTTTATTTTCCACCTAACAGGCAGTAAACCAATCCGGCTGGTGAATGGGACTAATCGGTGTAACGGCCGAGTGGAACTCTATTATAATGGACAGTGGGGAACAGTTTGTGATGACAGATGGGGCATGCAGGAAGCAGTAGTTGTATGCCGAGAGATGAACTGCGGGAATGCTCTCACGGTCAAGTACAAGGCCTACTTCGGCAGAGGTCGGGATCAGGTTTTGTTGGACGATGTTGATTGTACTGGTCATGAGAAATCCATTTCTGACTGCCCGCACAGAGGTTTTGGAGAACATGACTGTGACCACAATGAGGATGCCGGTGTTGTATGTTCAGGTAACACACTTTGCTCGAGTTCAAGAATAAAATCTGGATGGTAAGACCCTGATATATGTGCATTTGTGTGTGATGATGATGCATATATATATATATATATAGCCATTTTCTGAAACATATTAATTGGTTTTCCCATGCATGTCTGCTGTCTTAGCAGTTAAACCGTTCCCATCTACTGAACATTACTTCCACATTTCTACTATAGAGGGAGTATCACTTGTAAACCTTTACCATCTACTGAACATTACTTCCACATTTCTACTATAGAGGGAGTATCACTTGTAAACCTTTACCAGAAAAACTCCTGCAGCCTGTCACAATCATTGTTCCTCTTTTTTGTGGTTGTTTTTTGGTACAATATCACAGATTTCGAAGTCGTACAATCTGTTCTCCTAACCTCAAACTGTCATTGCTGAAATATGAACATTTTTCTTGAACATTTATAAATACAATACTAATTTAGAACTGCTTCCTCTCCAGACACAGTGAGATTTTTGAATGGGACTGACCGCTGCTCTGGCAGAGTGGAGGTCTTCAACAAAGGCCGATGGGGGAAGATTTGTACTAATAGTTGGAGCCCTGAACAGGCTACAATGGTGTGTAAGGAACTTGATTGTGGAGCTCCGAAAAAAATCCAAGAACATTTTTTTGGTGACAGCGGACTGATTGGGTTTAGAAGTACATGCCCTAGCAATGCGACCATGATGTCCCACTGTACATTTCAAGACCAGGCGAGTTGTGATGGTGTTTCTCTTTCATGTGCAGGTAAGACACAAAAGGTAGGAATATACTGTTGCACTGACTTGTGAATATGTTGGACTGATGGTGGCACTAACTTAAAGTTGAAAGGGTCATAAAAAACATGAATCCTTTTGGGGTTGTGAGTGTGTTTGCCACCTAAAGTGTTGGAAGAAGCAATCCATTGATAGATGCTGGCATGCTTATTCTGGAGATATTCTATATTTTTGTTATTGTAAACAAACCCCATTTCAGGGAAGGTATACAATTATTTATGTGGGATTTTGATTTGATTTTTTGATTGTCCTTTGACCTCTGTCTCACAAAGGAAAAAAGATTGTTTCTGAATTTCTTTATTCTACTACAAATGTGTAATACAGTTTTACTAAAACATGTATAGCATTAGTTGCTATATATGGCTTTATTTGTAATGGCCAATATTTGAAATACACTGTATCAACTTTACAGTGGAAGCAAATTTAATAGTTTAATTAGGGCCGGGGATACTTTGTGGCTAACATATCTGCTAACACATAAGCTGGTAAGTGCTTTTAACCAAGCGTGGACCTGCCCTCAGGTGTTTCACCGATAAGGCTTGCCAATGGCACTGACCGATGCTCTGGTAGAGTGGAGATTCAGCATGACGGCCATTGGGGAACAGTGTGTGATGATGATTGGGACATGAGAGATGCCCAGGTGGTGTGCAGAGCCATGGACTGTGGAGCACCTCAGGCAGTCAAACTTAGTGCCTTCTTTGGTCAAGGCAACGGAGACATCTGGATGGATGATGTCGGCTGTGTCGGTAACGAGACGTCCCTTCTTCACTGCCAACATCCCACCCTTGGAGAAAATAACTGTGGCCATGGCGAGGATGCCGGGGTGGTGTGCTTAGGTATCATCTCAGTTCTTACTCTGTTGTGTTGTTCATTCCTCTTTGGGTGGCAGTTTATTTCACACAGTGGCTCATTAATGCGTCCGATGAATATTTTGCCCACCATTGACAAGAAACTGTTAGTATATCACAGTTATTTCCACTACAATATATCTATCAGAATATCATGTACAATTTGAATAAATTAACTATTTATTTCTTTCTAATGTGTCTTAAAACCAACTAACTGCTGTTTCTCTCTTCTTTGCGTTCTAGCTAATATTAGACTTGTTAATGGGAAAGACCAGTGCTCAGGCAGGGTGGAGTTCTTCTATGATGGACATTGGTCAACGGCATATAATGATACTTGGGGAATGAATGAAGCTGCAGTGGTGTGCAGGGAGATGAACTGTGGAGATGTTTCTAAATTCTCTGGATCATTTGGTCAACAAAGAGAACTGGCAGGGTATCAGGTCAGGTGTAACGGCAGAGAGAGCTCTCTCACACAGTGCACAGTGACTACCAGAACCAGTCGTGCTGGAGCAGCCGCTGTCGAATGTACAGGTAAGACTTAAAGTTGAATTTGAAAATTTTAATAACCCTCACATATTGTGTAAGCATATGTAAGCTACACCAGTACTGCAGCTATTGTGCATCATTTTTCAACAGGAGATTGTTTGAGACGTTTTGAGACATGTCCCTTTTCAACATTCAATTTTGTTCTTTTTACTCCACTAAAATTATTTGACAGATTTAGTTACGAGTTACAAGTTAAGATTTTTACACACAAAACATACAACAGTGTGTTAAATATGTATTATATATGTACAAGTACAGCTGAAACAAGTAGTTGATTAATTTATTAGTACAATGATACATATTTTGAACATTTCCAGGTTCCTACTTATCAAATATGAGATTTTCTGCTTTTTGTGACCTCAACCAACTACTACAGTCAAATCTTGCTTTTACATTAATGCAGTAATGAGTAGAGTAATAATAATCTAATGGTAACAGTAACAGACATTTTACTTACTTATTATTATACTACAGGTATACTATTATTATACATTATACTTACTCTAATAATTTAAGCACATTTTCCCAATGATACTTAAATATCTTGACTTAAGTAACATTTTAAATACATTACTTGTGTTAGCTATGTCTCTTTAGTGGGTCAAAATATGGTGACAATATGACGAATGACCAGACTTTTTAAAGTCAAAGCAATGAGTAGTTGAGGGACCTCATTACTCTGTACATTACCTTGTGATACGTAGTAACTAATAACATAGGGAGTGCTCAAATCAAAGTTGTGACCAAGCTAAGACTAACAATGTTGCTGTTGGAACTGAAGGGATATTACAAGCTATAATATATGCCTGACCACACAGTTATTACACCAATCAAATGACTGCGCACAAATTGTCAGACAATATCAAAAATTCATGCTCCCAGAGTAAACTAACAGTTATAACAGTTGCATAACTGTCATTTCCAGGCAATGTGAAGTTGGCCGGTGGGCCAAATGCTTGTGTTGGAAGAGTGGAGTTCTATGACAAAGGCCAGTGGGGGACTGTGTGTGGTGAAACCTGGGATGTGAATGATGCTGCGGTGGTGTGCAGACAGTTGGACTGCGGCAAGGCTCATAAGATTACCATCAATACTGAGTATGGCCAAGGCTCAGGACAGACCGGGATTGATATAATTGACTGCAACGGACGCGAGTCAACCCTGGCTCAGTGCCAACAAAGAGCATTTAGAAACAAAGTTTGCAACGCAACCTCAGTTGGTGGTGTTGTCTGTCAAGGTATGTCACTTTTCAACTGTTTTGATTTGTCTGTAGATGTTTAACAGATTATCTATAGAGTAAATGTGACAAATCATGAACATACCCTATAGCCAAGATGTTTTTGTGCCTAAATCTGACCAAACCTCAACCACAGGTTGTTGATTCTCAACTAATAAGCTGTTGAACTGTCACAAATCCCCTATAAACTATCTGTAGGCGAACTATCTAAATAAACTGTAACCATTTATTCATTGCTTATTCACTTCATGAAAGAAAAGAAAGAAAAAAAGACTGTGCCTATTAATGCCATATTAAAGCTATACTTGAATAAATTATTAGAACTGAAGCAGGTAACTTGTCTTACAACTGATTACTGTTCATTTTAATTTAGAAAATTCTATAATTCTGCTGAAGTTTTATCAGCATGTACTTTATTGTTATATTATTATTATTATATTATATTAGGTATTGTGTTTCAAATCTAGATTATGTAGGGGACAAGTGTTTTTCTAAATATTATTATTTATCTTACATATATTTGACTACCTTCACATTCATTTGTCTGATACCACACAATAACTTTATTTTCCTTGACTTCACAGGAAGTTTGGAGGTCCGGTTGGCTGATAGTAGCGATGAGTGCTCTGGCAGAGTAGAGGTCCGTCATGGCAATGTGTGGCAAACGGTGTGTGACACAGAGTGGACCTTGAGCAAAGCTCAGGTGGTGTGTGACAAGCTGGAATGCGGAAATGCAATGAGTGCTCCAATAGGTGCCCATTTTGGCCCTGGCAGTGGATCAATAGTGACAGCGAGCAATTCATGCTTTGACAATGGGACATCTCTTGAGCAGTGCTCACTCAAAGGTTTCCAAAGCTCAACGTGTGCACATGTGCAAGATGCTGGTGTTGTCTGTGCAGGTAATGCCTTTTAAATTATGTGTTCAAAATTGATACCACTCTCATTTCTGCCCAGAAGTGGAAACCCAATTATTTCCCAAATTGTAAAACTTTTGCTTTAATTTTTCATTTGCATGACAAAGGTGACTTTTGTTACTTCCAAGTCATATTATATTATTTTATATCATTATTATATTGTAAGTCAAACCATTATCCATTTTATGCTATGGAAATTTGCTTCTGAAGATGATGATGGGTCAAGCCATACTTTCAAAAAAATAATGAAATTTATGAAATTTTATGTGTATCAATAGACACATATGCAATTCAAAAATCCACATACATTTTTAGAATTGTATGTAAATGCATAGACTGATAGCATTTTCTGTCTTCATATGCAGCACAGCTTCGGGTGGTCGGTGGCTCAGGTCAATGCTCCGGAAGAGTGGAGGTTCTCTATAAAGGCCAGTGGGGAACTGTGTGTGATGATGAATGGGGAATGACCAATGCTGATGTGGTATGTAGACAGCTTGGTTGCGCTCATGCAGTTTCTGCTCCTTTATCTGCCCACTTTGGTAGAGGCACTGGTCCAATATGGCTGGATAATGTGATGTGTTCAGGCTCAGAGCTTGCTCTCTCACATTGTACCCATCCGCTTTTTGGAGAGAATAACTGCGGGCACGGTGAAGATGCTGGCGTTATCTGTTTAGGTAAGGGGCCTGACTTATTTTGAATCTGTGAATGAAGCCACTACCTCTCAAATGACATTGGATGAAGCAGCCCTGGTTGACAAAACAGATGCACTAAAATATATTATCTGTTTCAGGTGCTCTACAGAAGCCCCAAATAACCTTGAGTCCTGCTCCAGAAGTAAACTGGGGTGACAAAGTTGAAATCACCTGCTCTATACAATCAGAACAGTTAGGTGGGACTTTTGTCCTGAAAAAGCAAGACGAAGGATCATTTAAAATGGAGAAATACTCTGAAAACGAAGCTGCAACCTTTACCTTCCCTACAGTGGACTTCAAACACAGGGGGTCATACTTCTGTGAATATCATAAGAAACTGCCCAATGAAGTCATCTATTATCCTCAAGGAAATATTGCTGAGCTCTCTGTCCTAGGTCAATAATTTTGTGCTTTGTTTGTCCATTTGAACATAATTGACCCTTCCCATAAGTCCCACTTCTTTTTGCTCCGCACTCCTGCACATAGATATGCTATGTACCAGTTTTGTCTATCTTGAAAAGACAACCAAGTTATGAAGATGGTTAAAAGATAAAGCGACATATGCTGCCCATTAATTATTATTGATCAATCTCTTCCAAACATATCACAGTGAAAATTAAACGACAATTAACCTTTGCAAACTGTGTATTCAGGCTTAAACAAAATTGGAGGTATTGAACTATAAGATTAAGGGCTTTGTTTAAATTTTTCAACCTTGGTCAATTCAACAGGAAACACATTTCAGTGTCAACAGTGAGGTGTGGACCCTTGGTCATTAGTCTTGCTTGGTAACCATGCTGAAGCAATCTTCGATTTACAGTTTGGCGGGAAACGTTGATTCCATGGTGTCTCCTCCAATCGGCATTTTCCGATTTCTACGGCATAGATTAAGTAGTTGCCGATCATCTCGTCTGGTAGTTAGTGGTGGTCGTCCTGGAGATTACAGACTCTCTGCAATATTCCAAGAAAAATCAGCAATGTTGGCTTGTTTGTGTCCATCCTGTCGAAGTGCAAGCACTCTTCTGCGTATTGCCAGTTGCGTCAGACGAATCATAGCCCAGGGGACTTGTGTTCAAAAACAAATTTGGTTGAAAATTATACAGCCAATTCTGAAAACGTGAACTCACAGGCATACAGACTTTAAGCAGGAAAAGGACGACACAGCGAATGTCTTACCTTTTATAGCGCCAAATAATTGTTACACATGAATTCGTTTCACCTGGGTAACTCAATATGTAATCATTGCACCTGGTCAATGGTGATTACTGACTATAAATAGAAATAAAAAGAGGAATGTGTCTGAAAACAAAATTATTCCAACTTTATGTGTATAGTCATGGTAGCTAGCTAATGTTAGCAATGGGAATAATGTGCTAATGGGAGCTTCTACATCGACCATGAGCTAGATAGTTACATCTGAAAGCTAATGTTAGCAAAATGCTAGCTAACTAGCTAGCCTATTTACACCTGTTGTTAATTAGTTAGCTAATGTTTTATTAGCTAACTTACTATAAATGTATGTATATATGTACTATATATATGACTATATGTTGCGTTTTAACCATCTTCTATATTTGGTTTTCTTTTAAAACACAGACAAGCCTAGCACATAGCATATCTAAGTACAGGAAAGGATAAAGTTGACTTAGGTTCTGATTGAGCCTTGCACAACTGTTATTGGAGCACAGAGCAAGGAGAGGCGGGACTTGTGTAAGAAATTTGTCTGTGCAAGATCGGCAAAATGATTTATGATCTATATGAGTTTGTAAAAATCTGTCTCTATTCTGCAGTGAAATTGGAGAAGCCCACCATCTCCTTGACGACTCCCCATGCAATGGTGATCTACAGCCCAGAGAAAATATCGGTCACCAAAGGCAACACCTTCTCTATGACTTGCTCTACTCATTCCAGATATTCTGGAGGTTCCTTCTATCTAACAAAGTCAAACAGCACCACTGAAGTAAAGTCAGCAATTGGCTTCAATATCTACTACATGGCAGCCTTTGACATCCCTGAAATAGATTTTCAACAGCAAGGAGACTATACCTGTATCTTCGCTGTTAACATCTCCTCTAGGTCCTTCTCTTCGGTTCCCTCGAGGTCACTCCAAGTCACTGTAGTCTGTAAGACCCAACGAACCCTTGCAAGTTTATTTGTCTTTCTTCAATGATTATAGTTGGATTTCTCCTTCGCTGACTCTACTACTCTTTTAATCCCTACAGCCGCCTCATCCTCTTCAGTTGTCGCAGGAGTTATGGGAGGGCTAGTGGTGGTGCTGCTTCTGCTGGTTGTAGGTTTCTTGGTCTGGAGGAGGAGATGGCGGTTTGCTAGTAAGTCGCAAACACCCACATTTATATTACAAAATTACAGTAACGCCCCCTTTATTATAATGCCATATAATGTGTCCAGATTGAAGCTGTACTAATTCATATTTTGATATTAACGATGGGGAAAATGCGTGAAGTAAAGGGGGAAACCACTGATATTATCACTGCAGTTTATCTGTTGCAAAAAAAGATGCTGTACAAATGGTGTACAGATTTTGGCTGACCCCAAGTGGCCAAAAAAATCAGTTATTGGACACTTAATATTGAAAGAAAATATGTAATACACACATCATTATCACTTAGTGGCCAAAGAATCAATAAATGCATGGCGTAGTTGCTCTAGATTTTCTCTTTTGATTCTTTTATGGGAATGACTGTTGCTGACATGGTGATTTTATGCTCACTTTTTTAGGCACCATGGTTCAGTTCAGTAACACGTTTGGAGGAACAATAAAAGAAAAAGATGAAGATGAGAGAACCAATGCAGCATTTGATGGAAGGTAATAAATAAAGAGAACAATGTTATTTGCCAAGATACACCTATTTTAGTAATTTTAATATTCTCCCTCAGAGCCCACAATACTCAAGTGAAGGAGCATGAACCCAGTCGCGGCCCAGAAGACAAGAAGGCTGATGTCGATACTGATAACTCTGTTGAGAGGGTCCCTGAAGACCTGGCTGGGAGAGTGTGTTATGAGCTTGAACCTCTTGTGATAACCAACTGACTCAAAGAATAACCTATGTCATGTGGTTTCACTAAATTAAAGAGCAACATAACACAGAAAGTAAGATTTTCAGCTCGGGTTCAGTTGCTCTTTAAGGCCATAGGAACATTAGGGACCTGTTTTTTACACCTCTTTTTAAGTAAACAATTATTCAGAAATCTACCAACTTTGCATTTCCTCAACTAGATTTTGTGTCATTTGCTTTAGAAAATCATATTTAGAAATTAAACCGAGCAGAAATTGAAAATAATTAAGTAATTTTAAATAACATACCGGTAAAAGTTTGCTTGTGGCATTTATTTTCATACTTATTCCTGTGGTGATTTTTATTTTCCTGGGAGATTCTGACAATCACAATAAAGTACACTGACCTGTATACTGAACATACTGATTACATTGTCTTTGTGTTGCATTATAATTAGCTTTTTTTAGTGTATGTGAGTGCTTATCAATAAATTTGTATTTCCTACACTTACATCTTTTCATTCATTTTTTTGTGTAAGAGAGTGTAAGAGAAACTGTGGTGGCTGTGAAATTTGCAAAAACTCAAATGGCCCCATCTAGATACCACACTGAAAATAAATATAATAATATAATAATAAAAGTCTTGCATTTAGGTATGTAAGAATTATTTAAAATGCATTTTGCTAGAGGCCTAGACTGCCGGGGGACTTCCCATGATGCATTGAGCTCTTCTCTTCCTCTCCCTCTTTATCTGCACACATTCATGTCCATCAATGCATGTTACTAACTTCACTTCTTCGCTAGTGTTTGTGCTTTCTTGTCTTGCAGGATCCTGGTTGTGCCTGCTGCAGTGGTCTTTATTATTCATATTAATCATATTATTATCATCATCATTATGATTCATCATTCCCCATTGATATGACTACGGTCATCATAATTATTAGTCATTTCTACTAGTATAGTTGTTGCTGTGAATCTTTGGCTCTGTCTCTGTCCTTCTCTCTTTAATACCCACCCCCCTCCTTCCCTCCTCCCCTTTACCCCCCCTACTCCCACCTCTCCCTCTTTCTCTCTAACCACAACTGGTCGAGGCAGACAGCTGCCCACCTTGAGCCAGTGTCTGCTGGAGGTTCTTAAAAGGAAGTTTTTCCTTGCTGCTGTTGCCAAGTGCTT